TGCCCATCTTGCTTGTCGTGGGCGCAGACGTTTGGCTGTCCTCAGATATTCCAGGTTCTTGTGGTCCGTGAATATCAGGATGGGATGGGAGGCACCTTCCAGCAGGTACCTCCATTCTTCTAATGCGGTTTTGATAGCCAGTAGTTTCGCGATCCCCAATGTCGTAGTTCCTCTCCGCAGGGGTAAGTTTCCGTTGAAAAGAATGCTACTGGGTGAAGTAATTCCTTGGCGCCCTTCCGCTGGGAAAGGATGGAGCCAACCGCGTTTTCTGACGCATCTACTTCTAAGATGTAGGGCAGGGAGGCGTCGGGATGACCCAGAATGGGTGCCGAGGTAAATAACTTTTTTAGTGCTTCAAAAGCTTCCTGTGCCTCTGGCGTCCATCTGAATCGCGTCCCAAGCTTGGTTAACTGAGTGATGGGGGAGACCAGACCCGAGAAGTTCTTGATGAACTTCCGGTAGAAGTTTGCGAACCCAATGAAACGTTGGACGCTTTTCCTGTCCGTGGGTTCAGGCCAATCTAGGATCGCAGAGACCTTCTGAGTCCATTGCGACCCCCGTGGTGGAGATAATCAGACCCAGAAATGTAACGCTAGCCTGTTCAAAGCAGCATTTCTCTGCTTTAGCGTACAACCCGTGCTGCCGCAACCGCCCCAACACCTTTGTTACATGTACCCTGTGCTCCCCCAGGGAGGATGAGAAAATCAAAATGTCGTCTAAGTAGACGATGACAAAGATGTCCAGGAAGTCCCTAAAGATGTCGTTTACAAAGTGCTGGAAGGTGGCTGGCGCATTGCACAACCCGAAAGGCATGACCAGGTATTCGAAATGGCCTAAACGGGTGCGGAAGGCCGTCTTCCACTCATCCCCCTCCCTTATGCGAACCAAATTGTAGGCTCCCCTTAAGTCCAGTTTGGTAAATACTCCTGCAGCTTTTAAGCTCTGGAATAATTCAGGTACCAGTGGTAATGGGTAACGATTTTTAATTGTGACCCTATTCAGCTCCCGATAGTCAATACATGGCCTCAAAGTCTTGTCCTTCTTTTCTACAAAGAAGATCCCTGCACCTGCTGGGGAAGTGGAGGGACGGATGAATCCCTTTCGGAGGCTGTCCTCAATATAGTCCTTCAGGGCCCCTAATTCTAGCTCAGAAAGGGGAAAAATTCGCCCCCGAACGGAATTTCAGAAACCGGGTAACAGATCAATAGGACAGTCATATGGGCGGTGGGGGGGTAGAGCATCTGCTCCCCGTTCACTGAACACATCAAGAAACTTATGATAGGCTGCAGGAATCACTTGTTTTAGACTGTCATCCCCTTCAGAGCACAGGAGGACCTGGGGGACCTCCGGGCCCGAAGTTCGACACAGTTCCCGACAGTATGGGGAAGGGAACGAGACAACCCCAGTTTCCCAGTCAATTTGGGGGTTATGGGCCCGCAACCAAGGGAGCCCCAGAATGACTGGGAAAAGGGGTGTGTCAGGGCTCCCAGGTGTGACCAGAGGTGTGTGGCTGACGCAGGGAAACGCAGACCTCAGATATGTTATAAACAATATAATTTATTAACACTAACCATACAAACATAAAACGCAGTGCAATACTAAAACATAATACAGTGCAACCAAACCAAACCAACCCCCCACAGATAACAGTACATACAAGCAAGCGTCGTCAGGCAGGCCGGGTCAATATCAATAGGGCAGGTAGGTACAGGGGGAGCAAGCGGAGTTGGTCGGGGTCACAGGCCAGGTTCAGCAGGTAGCAAGCAGCGTAGTACAGAGGGTCAGGCAGAGGGATGGTCAGGGTCACAAGCCAGGGATCAGAACAGGTAGCAAGCAGCGTGGTACAGAGGGTCAGGCAGAGGGATGGTCAGGAGCGAGCCGGGATCAGAGCAGGAGAAGTCAGCAGCGGTTCAGAAACAGGATGCAGGACAGAAACAGGATACAGGGCCCAGGACAAACACAACACCAAGGCAGAGTTGTGGGTCTGGCCATCCCTTAAATACCCCAGCATAATCAGTTCCAGGTGTTAGCTGGCTGCAAAGTTGAGTCTCTGATTGCTGGGAGCATCCGCTGGCCAGCCCTGGTACTGCAGATCAAAAGGCAGGTGAGTCCCACCATTGCTGGCCAGTCCATTCCTGACAGTACCCCCCCTCAAGGAGCGGCCTCAGGACGCTCCAAACAGTCCTAGCTGGGAAAAATGTTCCACCGCCCGGGTCTGGTAACTGGCGGGATATCAAAGACTGGCACAGCGGGCAGGACTCCGGGCAGCGGTACACCGGGCAGAGGCACATCGGGCTGGACTCCGGGCAGAGGCACACCGGGCAGAGGCACATCGGGCAGAGGCACACCGGGCTGGACTCCGGGCAGAGGCACATCGGGCTGGACTCCGGGCAGAGGCACATCGGGCTGGACTCCGGGCAGAGGCACATCGGGCTGGACTCCGGGCAGAGGCACATCGGGCTGGACTCCGGGCAGAGGCACATCGGGCTGGACTCCGGGCAGAGGCACATCGGGCTGGACTCCGGGCAGAGGCACATCGGGCTGGACTCCGGGCAGAGGCACACCGGGCAGAGGCACATCGGGCTGGACTCCGGGCAGAGGCACATCGGGCTGGACTCCGGGCAGAGGCACATCGGGCTGGACTCCGGGCAGAGGCACATCGGGCAGGACTCCGGGCAGAGGCACATCGGGCAGGACTCCGGGCAGAGGCACATCGGGCTACCAGGAGAAGCGGCAGGCACTGGGCCCCCGGGCGGAGCGGCAGGCACCGGACCCCCGGGCGGGGCGACAGGCACCGGACCCCCGGGCGGGGCAACAGGCCTTGGGCCCCCGGGCGGGGCGACAGGCCTCGGGCCCCCGGGCGGGGCGACAGGCCTCGGGCCCCCGGGCGGGGCGACAGGCCTCGGGCCCCCAGGCGGGGCGACAGGCCTCGGGCCCCCAGGCGGAGCGGCGGGCGCCGGACCCCCAGGCGGAACTACAGGTCTCGGGCCCTCAGGCGGAGCGGCGGGCGCCGGACCCCCAGATGGAGTGACAGGTCTCGGGCCCTCAGGCGGAGCGGCGGGCGCCGGACCCCCAGATGGAGCGACAGGTCTCGGGCCCTCAGGCGGAGCGGCGGGCGCCGGACCCCCCAGATGGAGCGACAGGTCTCGGGCCCTCAGGCGGAGCAACAGGTCTCGGGCCCCCAGACGAAGCGGCGGGCACCGAGTCACCAGGCACGACAGTGGGCACCGAGTCGTCTGGCAAGACTGCGGGCACCGAGTCGTCTGGCAAGACTGCGCGGGCACCGAGTCAACTGGCGGAACTGCGGGCACCGAGTCGTCTGGCAAGACTGCGGGCACCGAGTCGTCTGGCAAGACTGCGGGCACCGAGTCGTCTGGCAAGACTGCGGGCACCGAGTCGTCTGGCAAGACTGCGGGCACCGAGTCGTCTGGCAAGACTGCGGGCACCGAGTCATCTGGCAAGACTGCGGGCACCGAGTCGACTGGCGGAACAGCGGGCACCGAGTCGTCTGGCAAGACTGCGGGCACCGAGTCGTCTGGCAAGACTGCGGGCACCGAGTCGTCTGGCAAGACTGCGGGCACCGAGTCGTCTGGCAAGACTGCGGGCACCGAGAGTCGTCTGGCAAGACTGCGGGCACCGAGTCGTCTGGCAAGACAGCGGGCACCGAGTCGTCTGGCAAGACTGCGGGCACCGAGTCGTCTGGCAAGACTGCGGGCACCGAGTCGTCTGGCAAGACTGCGGGCACCGAGTCGTCTGGCAAGACTGCGGGCACCGAGTCGTCTGGCAAGACTGCGGGCACCGAGTCGTCTGGCAAGACTGCGGGCACCGAGTCGTCTGGCAAGACTGCGGGCACCGAGTCGTCTGGCAACAGACGGGCACCGAGTCGTCTGGCAAGACTGCGGGCACCGAGTCGTCTGGCGGAACACTGCGGGCACCGAGTCGTCTGGCGGTCTGGGCAAGACTGCGGGCACCGAGTCCATCTGGCAAGACTGCGGGCACCGAGTCGACTGGCGGAACAGCGGGCACCGAGTCGTCTGGCAAGACTGCGGGCACCGAGTCGTCTGGCAAGACTGCGGGCACCGAGTCGTCGTGCGGCAAGACTGCGGGCACCGAGTCGTCTGGCAAGACTGCGGGCACCGAGTCGTCTGGCGGAACAGCGGGCACCGAGTCGTCTGGCAAGACTGCGGGCACAGAGTCGTCTGGCAAGACTGCGGGCACCGAGTCGTCTGGCAAGACTGCGGGCACCGAGTTGTCTGGCAAGACTGCGGGCAAGACCGAGTCGTCTGGCAAGACTGCGGGCACCGAGTCGACTGGCGGAACAGCGGGCACCAAGTCGTCTGGCAAGACAGTGGGCTCCGAGTCAACAGGCACGACAGTGGGCACCGGGTCATCAGGTATCGGATTGTCTGGCTCGACAGCGGGCATCGGGTCACCAGGTATGACAGCGGGCACTGGGTCACCAGGCATCAGGTCATTTGGCTTGCCAGTGGGCACCGCGCGTCATCTGGCAAGGCAGTGGGCACCGGGTCACCAGGTATGACAGCGGGCTCTGAGTCAATTGGCACGACAGCGGGCACTGGGTCAGGTACCGGATCATCTGGATCAACAGCGGGCATCGAGTCAACTGGCCTAATAGGATCGTCGGGCTGGATCAGTTCATCATGCTGAGTAGCGGCATCAGGCTGAATGCAGGCATCAGGCTGAGTAGAGGCTTCAGGCTGAGTAGAGGCTTCAGGCTGAGTAGAGGCTTCAGGCTGAGTAGAGGCATCCGGCTGAAGAGAGGCATCCGGCTGAAGAGAGGCATCAGGCTGAAGAGAGGCTTCAGGCTGAAGAGAGGCTCAGGCTGAAGAGAGGCTTGAGGCTGAGAGAGGCTTCAGGCTGAGTAGAGGCTTCAGGCTGAGTAGAGGCTTCAGGCTGAGTAGAGGCTTCAGGCTGAGTCACGGAAGGCAGGTTCACCAGTTTGGATACTGGCAGGATGGTATTGGTTGGAAAGAATTTTCGCTTTTTTCTGGTTTTAACTACTGGAGCACTGCAAGTAAACGCAGGTCTGCAAACGAATGGAGCAGCTGGAGACAGAGAAAAAAACTGGAGGATGGAACAGGAGAGGGAGCAGTTGCTACAGAGGGCTTTTTTACAGGGTTAAAGGCAGGATAGGTGCAGCGAGTGGGAACAGGGTACTGACATGCGGTAGCTAGCCAAGTATACTGGGCTGTAACTGGAGGAGCTGGTGGGAATACAGGAGTAAAGTTAGAAGCAGGACTGGGTTTTTGTAAGCTGACTGAGGCTGGGTGCAACAAGTCTGTCCATGTCTGCAGTAGGGGTTGAACAAAGCTGAGCTTACACAAAGCCTGTCTGGTCAATGACTGCACTGCGTTTATACAATCTCTTAGTACCTGTGGTGAACATGTGGAATAACGCTCCAGAAAGTAACCCACATCATCCTCTAATAACCACACCAGGGGACTCTACCTGGTCTGCACTAAATGGTGGCAAAAATTCATCCCTGCATTCGGGGGAACCAGATGAAACCAACTCAGCACAAACCTCAATCAAAGGCTGCACCTCAGAGAACTCTGTGCCCTGATCTACTAGAACATGAGCGAGCCGTATACATTCTAGTAGTTGATCCCTGGGATACTCCTTCAGAGTTTGATAAGCATATTTTCTGTCATCAAGCACTAGCAGATATAAATACACAACCTCATCCAGATCCATCCTTCCCAGCAACAAGCCAAGATGGCTTCCCTGTGCAGCCACTTCTGGTCAGGATTGGCCTTGGTGTAATGTCAGGGCTCCCAGGTGTGACCAGAGGTGTGTGGCTGACGCAGGGAAACGCAGACCTCAGATATGTTATAAACAATATAATTTATTAACACTAACCATACAAACATAAACGCAGTGCAATACTAAAACATAATACAGTGCAACCAAACCAAACCAACCCCCCCACAGATAACAGTACATACAAGCAAGCGTCGTCAGGCAGGCCGGGTCAATATCAATAGGGCAGGTAGGTACAGGGGCAGCAAGCGGAGATTGGTCGGGGTCACAGGCCAGGTTCAGCAGGTAGCAAGCAGCGTAGTACAGAGGGTCAGGCAGAGGGATGGTCAGGGTCACAAGCCAGGGATCAGAACAGGTAGCAAGCAGCGTGGTACAGAGGGTCAGGCAGAGGGATGGTCAGGAGCGAGCCGGGATCAGAGCAGGAGAAGTCAGCAGCGGTTCAGAAACAGGATGCAGGACAGAAACAGGATACAGGGCCCAGGACAAACACAACACCAAGGCAGAGTCTGTGGGTCTGGCCATCCCTTAAATACCCAAGCATAATCAGTTCCAGGTGTTAGCTGGCTGCAAAGTTGAGTCTCTGATTGCTGGGAGCATCCGCTGGCCAGCCCTGGTACTGCAGATCAAAAGGCAGGTGAGTCCCACCATTGCTGGCCAGTCCATTCCTGACAGGGTGATGCAATAGCATCCAGGCGGAGGAGTTCCCGGTGCTGACCGGCAATGGAAGTCACAATGGAAGGGTCTCCTGGTTAACTACCCCTGACTTTATCCGGGAACCATCAGCCAAAAAGATGTGAAACCCCTTCTCCTTTGGGCGGAGGGGATACCCTGCTGGTGAGCAAAATTGATATCCACAAAACAGCTGCATGCCCCCGAATCAACTATGGCCGTCACCTCCACGGTCCTTTCTGAAAGCTGAAAGGAGAGGGGAACAACTAAGTACTGGGACGGATTCATATTGCCAACAGATAACGAAGATGAGGTGAACTTACTCAGTTTCTGCGGGCAGGAACGCACCATGTGACCAGCTTCGCCGCAGTACAGACACAGATTCTGGGAGCGTCTGCGCTGGCGTTCCTCAGGCGATAGTTTAGGCCATGCCAGGCCTAGCTGCATGGGTTCGGGAGCATCTTCAGACGGCAGGTTCTGGATGTTTGGCCTAGTATGTTGACCGGATCCTTGGAATGACCCCCAGGTATTTCCGCGACCCTGACCAGACCTCTCCAATATGCGCTCCCGTAGCCTACGGTCAATTTTAATGGTGAGTGCAATCAAGTCCTCTAATGTCTCGGGCACCTCCACCCGGGCGAGCTCGTCTTTCAGAGCCTCAGAAAGGCCCATACGGAACTGGTGCAAAAGTGCGAACTCGTTCCAACGAGTGTCACCCATCCAGCGCCTAAAGTCAGAGGCGTATTCCTCAGCCGCCCGCCCGACCTTGTCGGAGTGCGTATAATGTGGCCTCGGCCGAGGCCGCCCGTTGTGGGTCATCATATATAGATGGCCATAGCGTTAAAGAAGCTGTCGACCGTAACCAGGTGAGGATCATTGTTTCCCCTTAGTCGGTGGGCCCAGTCTTGGGGTTCACCCTGCAACAGGGAGACAATAAACCCCACTTTCACAGATTCTGTCAAAAAGGTCCGTGGCTGCAGTTCAAAATAGAGCAGACAGGAGTCACGGAATGACCAAAAGCGTGTGCGATCCCCGTGGAAGCGCTCGGGTAAGGGTACTCGGGGTTCTGCCATAGGGAGTGATATGGAAGGCCCAGGAGCCGGCTCGTGGGCTGCTGCGACCGGCGGTGCAGGAGCCGGGGCCTGTGAAACAGGAACGGATATGGTGCAGGCCTGAAACCGATTCTCGATCTGCAGACATCTGTCCTGTAATGTGTTTACTGCTTGCGTCAGGGTAGCCAGGTGCCTGCAAACCTCGTCCAACGGGGAGAGCCCTCCTCGAGGCTCAGTCATGGCCTTCTGGTACTGTGAGGGACCGCCGAGTGGCACCACTAGCACTCCACTGGTCAGGCGTGCCCAGAGCGCGGAGTCTAAGCCCCAGGGTACTTGTTCACCAGGGCCCCTGATGGTGGGGATGGACTTGTAGTACCCCGAGACCAGGTCGCCTCTACTGAACACACCTGTCAGTGGTAGGGGTGTTCGCCAGGGGCTCCAACCAGGGAGAGCCAGATGTGAGGAGGTCGGGTGACCCCGATGGGATGGATGGATGGATGGCTGAGCAAGTGCGTAGTCAGACAGGCCGAGTCGGTAACGTAGAGGACGGTAGGGTACAAGGGAGCAGGCAGAGAATCGTCGGGTCACACGCCAGGTCAGCAACAGGAGGTCAGATCTAATGAGGGGCATCCAGGGAGAGAGGTCAGGCAAGTAAGGGTCTGGGCAGGAGAAATCAGCAGGTCAAGAAACAATCTGGGTCAATAAACTTACTAGGCACAGGTACAGAATCACAGGAAGCAGGTAAGACCAGAAGGCAACGAAATGACAGCTCAGGGACCTTTAAATATCCCGCCCTGTGCTGCAATTGGTGCCCAGCGGGCGGCCGCGGCTTCTACTGCGCATGCGCGAACTCGAACGCCGCGGCCGGCCCGGACCTAGTGCCCGTGTACAGGGCGGAGCAGTGCGCCTGCGCCGGGACCATCGCGGCAGGGATCGAGGAGATCCCTGACAATACCTTTTTGGACTGATATTATATTACCTTGGACTGTTTAACATCCAGTTTATGGGATTTTTCCATTTCTGTCATATTTTGTCATACTTTAGACAGTCTATTTTCATGTCATATTCCTACTGGACAGTTGACTCTCCCTACCTTAAGTTTTGGAAGTTTCCTCCAGAAGGAAGCGGGAGAAATCATACACCCAGCCTGGAAACCCTGACCAGACAAAAACAATAGATTACTGCTCTGCCGACTACAGTGAGGCCAAAAAGAAATTTAGCCTAGCAGTCTAACTAGAGTAGGGTGCTAAAGATACATGCAAATAAATACTTCTCCGGTCAGCATGTCATTGTTTTGTATGGGCTGAGCGGCCACAGCTGTACACATACTATCTGTCGACCCAGCTGCAATACACTGTCTCTTGCTGCGGCACGGATCATCACTCTTTTACAAAACTATGGAGCTGAAAGACAGAGGTTGTCAAAGAAATCTGATTTCTTTATATGAGGGGGTGAGCAAAAACCTTGGACAGAGGGGTGGAGGTGGATGTGGTATACTTGAATTTTGCAAAAGTGTTTGACACATACAGCTAATGTGTAAGGTAAAGTCTACAGGCTTGGAAAAATCTGTATGTAAATGGATAAAAAACTGGCTAAAAGATCATATTCAGAGAGTAGTGGTTAATGATTCATACTCTAAATGGTCTAGGGTTGTCAGTGGTGTACCCCAAGGTTCAGTGTTGGGACCCTTACTTTTTAATATATTTAAACAATATAGGGTCTGGGATTAAAATCCCATTTCAGTCTTTGCAGATGACACCAAACTGTGCAGTGGAATAACGTCCTTACAGGATGTCTCCAATTTACAAACCGACCCCAATGCACTGTTTAATTTGGCAAATATGTGGCAAATGAGGTTTAATGTTGATAAATGTAAGGTTATGCACTTGGGGCTAAGAATATGATGCATCATACATACTAGGGGGGGTACAACTGGGGGACTCAATGGTGGAGAAGGATCTGGGAGTTCTGGTAGATCACAAGCTTAATAATGGCATGCAATGCCAAGCTGCTGTTTGTAAAGCGAGCAAAATCCTCTCTTGTATTAAAAGAGGTATAGACTCCAGAGAGAGATATATCATATTACCCCGTACAAATCATTAGTAAGACCACATCTGGAATATGCAGTTCAGTTTTGGGCACCAATTCACAAAAAGAACATTGGGGAACTGGAGAAAAGTACAGAGAAGGGCAACCAAACTGGTACGAGGCATGGAGGAGCTCACCTATGAGGAAAGATTAGAGGAACTGAATTTATTCTCTCTTGAGATAAGGAGATTAAGGG